TATATATATATATATACTCGCAAGAGTTTAAAAAAAATATGTGCATATAGCTCAAACTACATCAGGAAAATTCTATTGATACGCACTATACTGCAACGTAAATAGGAGAAGTTTACGGAAACTCTTATCCTCCATCGATAGGCAAGCTGCTTGCTTTCCTCAGAATAGGCAATGCAACTACTTGCGTTGCCCAAAATGCATAAACAAAACAAAGCGTCAAAACCTGTTTGCGGATCTTTCAGCAAATATTTTTACAGTATTCATTAATTTTCACAGTACGTACATAAATTTTAGTAAACGGGTAACTATTATGATCATCCATTTATCATTAAATAGTAAACTGTGGTTTTAATTACGTAGTTGAATAAATTTACTGTGTTTGATAAAGAAAGCCAGCGAAAACAAAACACAAATTCTTTACAAAACTGAAAACAAAATTTTAAGGTACGTTCCAGACAGAAGTAGGGAAAAAAGTAGTGTAAAAGATTCAGATGTCAGAGTTATTTCTATACATATCATATCTATATACTACGTAATTAGAATCACGGTTTTTCTTTATTGATGAATAGACGATTGTAATGGTTACATGTATTTCTACAATTAATGTATATACTCTTAAAATAAAAAAATATTGTAAAAATATTTGCAGCTTCTATTCACCATCTAGAGGTAAGCTACTTGCTTTCCTCAAAATAGCCAATGGAACTACTTGGGTAGTTAGAACCACAGTTTACTTTTAAATGATAAATGGATGATCATAACAGTAACCCGTTTACTAAAATTTATGTATGTACTCTCAAAATTAATAAATACTGTAAAAATATTTGCTGGAAGATTCGAAAACAGGTTATGACGCTTTGTTTTAATTATGCTGTTTGGGCAACGCAAGTAGTTGCATTGCCTATTTTGAGGAAAGCAAGCAGGTTGCCTATAGATGGCGGATAAGAGCTTCCATAGAAGTTAGCTACTTACACTTACGAGGTAACGGCAAAAATGTCCATTATATGCCCCTAATACAAAATTCTAGCACCAAATTGAAAAGTGTTTCACATAACGATGATGGTAGTGGTAGTAAAAGGCATGATGAACGCACGAGTGAGCCAGAACGAAATGAAAAAATAGCTAGCGTAAGCGGGGGAGGGTTACCAAAGTCAGTCAAAGACGGAGCAAGACCCCACTGATTGAGAGATGAGCACGGATATGCATACAGAAGAAGAAGAAGGAGACAAACAGCCGACTAACAGCTCTGAAATCTTAATGGAGGGAGAAATAAAGCAGGTTTGTTAGTTAAATGATGCATCATGCGAAGTGGAGAATAAGAATGAGACTAATAAAGTAATACATTCTCCATCGATGAAAAAATACACGATATGCAGAACACGCCTGCCAAATGAGAGGGTGCCATAGATACCAAAAGAATAGAAGACTAACGCCTGTGCCAAAAGCTTAACAAATATTAAAATTATTCCCTTAGTTATTTTGAAAATCTGGCGCTTATGACAGTAACGGAAGTGGAACCCAATACGGAAGCGATAGATGCTTTACATTAAAGAGGGTACATAAATCTAAAGTACATGAATAACGAGAAGAAAGTCGTAGGTGAATCCAAAGGTACGAAATAGAGAAAGGTAACGGTTATACACATGTATGTAAAGGAGCATTTCAAAGAAGCGCCGCTTCAATTGAACATTAACAAATATTTTAAAGCTCTAAGGGACGTAATAATTGCAAAATGTATTAAATCAGTTGGGATTGTCAGAGATCTAGCGGTTCTCAATCATACCCAATGGAGGTACTTTGTCAATATTTTCGAGAGAGTATTCAAGAACACTAGATTAGCTGCAGTGCTCTACACCAACACACTTATAATTCTACCGACAAGTCAGAGATTGAAAATAATGAAAGAGTACCACGAAGCAGAAATAGTTGGGTACAGAGGTATTAACAAGATTTAGTAGGATCGCAAAAGACTACTATTAAAGAAATGTGCACCTAGACATAAGGAAAGTCATTTTGGGGTGCCCCTTATGTCAGATGAAAAACTTGTAAGGGTAAAAACAAAACAAGCTGTGATTATTACGGACACACCAAGCAGACCTTTCGAAATAATTTTAATAGACTACTGCGGGCCAATCAGTAAGCCATCAATAAATAATAGCACATATATTTTATCCACATAGAACTGGCTAACAAAGTTCATTGTTTTTGTACCAGTAAAGAGAACAACAGCTGAGGAGACCGTGAGGGCAATAACCGACAAATTAATAGCATACTTTTAACCCCCAGAACGTCAACTATCCGACCGTGGGACCCATTTCATGAATGAAAGTATAAACGAATTATCATAATTGTTTAAAATAGACAAAATGGATAGTACGGCATATCACCCTCAAATGAATAAGGCCATCAAAAGAATACATCACACGCTCACCGAATACATAAAAGCCTATGTAAAGAAGAAAGATCAATACGATGAACACTTACCATTATGTATGCAATCATATCATACTATGGACCATGAGAGTGCTGGGTATTTACCACATTAAAACAGCATTCAATGGCCAGACGTCAAACGAATATTTTAATGAGCTGTTAACGACACTGACGGAGATGAAAACTATCGCTGCAATAAATCAAGTTCAAGTAAAATAACCCTCGAAGTATGAGTAAGGCTGGAAATTAAATACAAGATACTACCTCAAGTTAGAAGTGGTTTATATGTTAAGAGAACCATTGAAAAGGAAATTTGACGCCCAATACCAGGGTCCGTACGAAATAACCAGCATCGATTATGCAAAAAAAATGTCAAGCTTTAAAGAAAGTATGAGGTCAGAATGTCTCACGTGGATAAAATAAAAAAAGGTTGCGTAGTAAAAGCCCCGATAGAAAATGCGAATATGTAAAGAAGTATAAAAATACACAATCAAATCACTAGCTTCGTTTACATTCTTGCGGCCCCCAGACGCACAGCAAAAATACGCCAACAAATAAGGGAACAAGAGAATGTTGAGTATAAATAATAGTGAACGGAGACATGCTTAGGTATAATCTAGGTATAATACGGGCAATGACAGGTAATTTTATCTAGAAAACGATAAATAAAATAGGTATAAATCTTCTTTAATTGCCTAAGCAAACACAAGTAGGGCATGTGTTGCTATCTTAAATAATAATAACAATTGAAAAGCATGCTATCGACGGTTTTGTCTATATACGATTATTGTTGTAAAAATAAAATCTTATCCCATACCCCAAATACTATGTAATACATTGAAAATGCTTTCAAAATTGGCTTATGTAGCTTATTTTTACCATAAAACCTCTGACTTCGACATTTCGAAAACTTAGCAAATATCGATTTTTCCATAACAATAAAAGTATCTTCAAATCACTTTTTTTACCAAAAAAATATACAGTCTAACGGTAACGCCCGGGAAATCGTACTCTTGTTTTGATTGTATAACCCACGCTATACTTATATTCACTATAAAGTCATTTATATATCTAATTCAGACTTGAAATTTTTTGAGCATACTTAGGAGATAATAAGCTAACTTTTAAAGAAAAACAAAAAAATGACTAAAAATTTAATTCTAAATGAATTTACCCTATTAAATTGAGGTACTATTGATATAATTCTTTGTATACGTAATTTTTCACATGCATGCTTTCTCTTTGATATCCAAGATATATTATTAACGAATCCCATGACCTAACTCTAGTCATAGCAACGTATAATTGTCCATAATTAAAAACATCGCTTCTAAGATCGATTCCGATATTCTTAAATGTTTGTCCTTGAGACTTATTTATAGTCATTGCAAAAGCCAATTAAATTGGGAACTGTCTTCTTTTTAACGTAAATGGGTACTCATTTTTACCATAAAGAGTAATACGATTCAAAAATACAATAATGTTACATTTATCTCCTGTTAAGATTTTACACTTTAATAAATGATTGAAAAAGTCGATAACTAACAGTCTTGTAACGTTGCATAAACCTTCATTTATGCTTATGTTCCTAATTAACATAATGATGCAATTTTTTCGTAAATGTAATTTACATGGAGGCAGACTTGGTGGATTTAAAGTATTAAGATACTCTGGTAAAAGAAGATTAGTAAGTTCACCATTATCACAATTTTCAATGCTATAAATTCCAGTATATACATGTTCGGTTGATCTATCCAATAAATTAGTAACTTGATCATTAATATCATCAACATCAACATTCCTAGCCGATAAAATAGCACATTTATTCATTTCTTCAAAATTATTTTCTTGAATAAGTTTTCCAAATACTTTTTGAACAATACAACTGTCCATTGGTAGTATACAGTGATGAGGAAGTTATTATCATTTTGGTCATTTATAGTACCATTTCCCACATCTAATAAGAACCGAGCAAATTGGAGTTCTTGTGGTAAGACCCTCATACATGTTTTTAATTGAAATTTGAAAAAATGTTCCCATAATGAACTATATATAATGGATAAATTTAATATTTCACTTCGAGTCCCATGATTTTTTATAGGAAGAAGTTGTCGAAAATCTCCACCTAAAAGCATCATTTTTCCTCCGAAAGGCAAATCATTATTCATAATATATTTAAAAGTTTGATCTACTATTTCTAAAGCATATCTCGGTGCCATAGGTGCTTCATCCCAACTAAAAACTTTGACATCTTTCAACAATTTACCTTCCTTAGATTGTACTTTTATATGTGATAAAGAATCATGAAACATAGGAACTGGTAACACAAAAGTTTCATGAACCGTTTTACCATTAGGCAGTAAAATTGCGGCAATTCCTGTGAATGCCATTGAACATACTTTAATATTCTTTGAAAATAACGTATTGTAAATAGTAGTATAAACAAAAGTTTTCCAAGATCCTCCTTGTCCATCTAAAAAAAAACAAGTCGGACCGTCATAACTTTCGTCTTAGGAAGCTTTAAGCACGATGCCAACAATTTCTTTTTGTTCGGCATTTAACTGACTGTACTGACGTTCGCTTTCTTCTAATGTGTCAGCTGGTGATACGTGACTGTTACAGTTTATTGTGTTCGTTACAAATTGTTCCATAGTAGGAAAATCAGCTAAGCTTCGACCTTCATTATTTAGCAAATTATTTATTTCAGCATATGCCATTTGAAAATTTACTTCACGATCATTTCTTCTAAAGAAATCTTCGGACATTGCAATGTGATATTTGTTCCACAATTTTTCAGGATGAATTGGTTGACAACGGATGAGTATACGAACAAATAAGAGACAAAGTCTTTGAGGTATCATCAAAAGCGTTGCTTCTTCCATTGCTTTAATCCATTCTTCATCATTTTCGATAAGTCCAAGTGCTAAGCAAGTTGCTGCAAAAGTTGGTTGTAAAACATTATTCAATGTCCTTAGTTCATTATAACTTTTGGCACCTTTTACATGTATTAATATTAATCTTAAATAAAACAATTCTGTTTGAGTTGGACTAACCGAGTACATGCGACCTATACAATTAAAATGTTTTTGTTGAGGGTTCCACGAAAATATTGTGGAATTATTGGTTTTTGTTTTCTTATGTATGAAATAACTTGGAATTTCTGTGAAAAAATATTTCCTTGCTTCTTCACAACTTTCATTCAATTTGAAATAATCAAGTAACATACTACTTGAATTACTTAAATTATTCATTACGACTACGTCTTCAACATTTTCTGGGATTATAACACATTGTTCATTTGGTAGATGTATTGGCAATCTAGTAATAGTGTGACTTTTGTCTTGCAATGGTTTACTTAGTATACGATAGCAAGCCGCTACAGGACCAACATATCGGGTTTCAATAAGATTTTCAATTTCATCATGATTAATTGTGTTGCTTTCATCTGTTTCTCTTATAATCACAGTAGCTGCATCATGACCCTTGTAAATATGTTTGTATAAATATTTAACTGCTGAAATGCTAGACACAACGTCTACATTAATGTGACAGTTGAACATTTCTAATAATTTAAGAGAATAAGGTACAACCCACTTATTATCTACCAAATTATTTCCAGGATGTTCATAAGTTATGCCAGAGTCTCTTCTACGGTAATTAGGATACCCATTCTCATCTAAAGTCGTTTCATTTTCAAATGGTTTAGGGAAATTTTTACCACACTTACCACCTACTGTACACCAATCACCACATGGACCATGTATCATGTTTTTCATAACTATTTCATGCAATCGAGGAGTAGATACGTGATCAGGAATTTCAGCTGATATAAATGTATCGACTATATCAGAGGTAGTAATTATCTAACCTCGTTCTAGTGTAACTAACAAGTGCAAATGAGGCAAAACCTCTTTTTTGGAATTCAATAACATATACATAAGCTGCAACTTTTCCAAAAAAATTTTTTTTTAAACTGAATCAAGTAAGTGATCTTTTTTTAAATGCAATACTCGCCCTACCATATCTGGTCTATCAGAAACTTGTTGACCTGGTAAGGGATTTTCCTTGATTTTACACCAATAAGGATTACATGTCATTGTAATAAAAATATCCGGCTAACTTTTTTTATTAACGATCGCCATAGAATCTTGGTAACATTTTTGCATTTGACGTGGAGATCCATTAAATGATGAAGGAAGAATTACTGTTTTACCAACATTAGCCGATACATCACGAGCAGACATTTGTATATAATCATGTAAGCCTTTCTACGTATTAGCCCTTAACTCTTTTTGATGATCTTTGCAATATTGAATTTTATCCTTTTCTATTTTAACATAATGATCCACTACCCATTGTTGATAAAATCTTTGACCCATTACAAAAGGATTAAATTAATCTGGTCTAATAGCCATTCTGTATCTAATGCAAGCTATTCGAGTTATACGTCGTTGCTCATTATTTTTTCTTACCATATTTTTGTACCATGCTTGTGTACCATATCGATAAAATAAAGGATATATCCATGGTTGTACGTTGGGATCCATGAAACTAATAAATTCTAATTTTTTCGTGTTCTTATTTCGCACAGTAACGTAGGATTCCGGAATCTCTCCATCAGCTGTTGTAGAAAAAATAGCTGCAACTTCATTAACTCTTTGGAAATTGTATCTTTGCATATCTTGACCTGGTTTCAATGGAAGCAACAATTGTAATTCATCAGCCTGTTGACTACTGTTATTTAACAAAAATTGTGCACCAATTTCTTGTTTCATCATTTCATAAGACTTAGCAAAAATATTATTATTACGAATGATAGAATCTTACATAGATATGAGATTGCAATCTAACACAGGATTTTCGATAATTTGATAACGTATAGCTTCTTGTTGATCAATAATAAAAAGTTTTCCATGACTTGGATTGTCGGTAAAAGAAGGAAGCAATGAAGTAATAATTTAATAATATATCTGACCTTGAATTTTAAAACAGTATGGTCCAGAAGGTCAAGATTTAAAATTCACTAAGTTAGCATTGAACGAAGCAAATGACAAAGAATTGTTATAATAACGAATACGCTCGAAAAAAAGACGTGACTTTTCATTTGATTCTTTAAATAATCCTTATAAGTCAGGAGGAAAATCTGGTAACGGGTGAAATATAACAGAGCCGTGGCTGCAACAATCGCTAAAAGATAGTCCTTTATTTGAAATTTTCTCATCGTCAAAGTGTTGTGCTTTGCAATGCAAACAAAAAATATTCATCGGACCTAAGTAATCTTTCTGTACACGATTATTATCAATGATAAGTTGTCGGGCTGCTTGTCTTCATTGGCGTTGATTTTCGGCACGACGTGATCGGCTGTTTCTTAAAAATTCTTCTTGTAGCTCTTGTGTACGATTGGGTGGTAAGTGACCGCGGGGCATATTTACTTTAAATTATTATCTCAAATAAAATTGAAATGTATGAAAAGAATATTCAAATGAGTGATGTTAAAAAAGTTATATTAATATTTACGATTTGTAGTGGAAATCAATTAAAATAAATTGCAAAATAAGGGCACGAACAAAATATGTAGTCAAACTTAAAATTATGACATGTGATAATCAATGAAAATTTTCCGAATTTATTAAATGATTTTTTTTCTGTGGATTTATTAAAAGAAATGTAATGTGGAACAAATAAGTAATTCATTTAGTTGAAATAGCGAAATTAATAAAATTACATCAATGGATATAGTAAAATTGACTAAAGCTGAAAATGAAGTTATTGATTCAGATAAAATTATTAATTTTACAAATGAAAAGTGCAAATTTACTCATAAGATTCAGTTTGGTTGAGATTATTATTTTGGATCAAGATAATAATTCGGTTAAGGATATGATTTCGGTTGATGATACAATTTCGGTAAAGGTTATAATTTCGGGTGAGGTTATAAATGTTGGTATAAGTCTTATTCAGGTTTGGTTGGTTTGGCTTGGTTAAGTTAGGTTTGACTTGGTTAAGTTTGGTTGGTTGAGTTTGGTAGGTTAAGTTTGCTTGGTTGAGTTTGGTTGGTTGACTTTGGTTGTGCTTGGTTCAATTTAGCTGGTTGAATTTGGTTGATTGTAAGTTTGGTTGAGAATGACTGAAAATATAAGATCATTTCTAATTAAATTGACGATTTAAAATCAACATTTAGATTTAAAGAAGCCAAGTTTTATTCGGCACTAAAAATAAATTTCATTTAAAAAAATA